TAGACTATTAGAAAAAATTTCCCCCTCCATGGTCGGTTCGATAACTCAAAAACGGATCATCTGAAAATAAAAACCCCAAATTGCTTTTTATTCAGTAAGAATGTAGTTATCATCGCACGTACGGAATTTTGAAAATTTTAATTTTTAAAAAATGGCGACTGATTGAAAATTTTCTCACTATTCTTACGGTTTTTTTTTTTTTAACCCGGCTAAAAAAATCTTTAAAATAAAAATTTTAAAAATTCCGTACGTGCGACGATAACTACATCCTTACTGATTAAAAAGCAATTTAGATTTTTATTTTCAGATGATCTGTTTTTGAGTTATCGAACCGACCGTGGAGGGAGAAAATATTCTCCAGTGCTCGACGAAATTGTTAATAACTTTGTAATAATTAAATATTTTTTAATAAAAATTTAGGATAATAATCTTTAATGTACCCTTAATAAAATAAAAAAAACCCGATTCCCAAACTCCGTTATTTTCCGTCAAAAAAATTCCCGAAAATCACCTCTTTTTTTCGATCGTCACAGTGGTGTTCCCCCTTAAAAAAAAAAAAATTATTAATAAATATTTTATTTACAAAAATTAATTTATATCAATTATTTTTTAAAAATAATAAAAAAAGAATAAATTATTATTTAAAAAAAAATTAACAATTGACATAAATTATTTTTTTTGTATTAAATATTTAATTATTAACTTATATGCTTACCAAAACAATTATTATCTTCATATTTATTTCTTTAATTAATGACATAGTATTGACCAGTCTCAATGCATTTTCATCAAAATGTTAAAATCATTTTATAGACATAAAAGTCTGGTTTTTAATAAATATTTATCATTAATATCAATATTTCTTCCTATAATTTGATGATTTTAATAAAATTATAATTACAAGGTTGTAATTACTTGCATAATTCATCAAGATCAAGGGACAAATAACTCTGCAACAATGACACCGGCTTCCAACGGTCCTTGGCGCCATCTTGATTTTCAAACTCCTGACATGCGCAGTAACTTTTCCTCTCACTTTTTTCCCGCGGCGCTAGTAGTAACTTCTGCATCTAAAAATGAATGCACTTATTATATAAAATATATATTGCAGTTTGTTTTGAAAAGTAAAATGTGGTTGTGATTATATTACAATATATTTATTTTTATAATAATTAATTATTATTTTAACAATTAAAAAATTTTGCAAATTTAATTAAAAAAAAAATTAAAACTGAGTGTAATAAAAATAATAAAATGGCAAACAGTGTCGCAAGATGTCTAGTAAAAAATTTACTAAAAATTAACCCCAAATCCAGCATCAGGATTGCTACCATTCGAACATCAGCAGTAGTAATTAATAGTCATAAACAAAGCACAACAACAGATTCAACAAAATTGTTACCGCCAGCACTGGACCCAGATTACCACGACATCAAAGGATTCAGGCAGTTCCTGGACGACCATCATCTGGGGCCCAAAGCAGCTTATGTGCTGATGAAAGTCGCCAGAGTTCCCAGGAACACTGCCCGGGAAGTTGTCAAGGATTTTACGTTATTCGAAAAGCTGTCTAAAAATGATATTGTAAAAAATTACGAGGCTTTACTTGCAGCTGGTCTTACCAGCGAGCAGATTAAAGAACATCCTTATGTGCTGGCTGATACTCAAGATGACCTGGCCTTGAAAATTATGATGTTCAATCAGATGAAGCTGGATTTAAATGACGGTATCAGACTATTCCAAATTTCAGCTCGCAGGTTTTCGCGCTATTTGATTGTCATCAGCGATGACAAGAAAATTATTCCTGAGTTCAACAGCCGGATTGAATATTTGGCCAATCAACTTGAGGTATTTATTTATTTATGTATTTATATTGTAATTGTGATTTATTTATTTATTTAATTAATTATTTTCAGACCACGCCTAAGGAAATATGTGACAGGTTACCGAGTCGCAGTCAAGTTCTTGGAGTTCCAATGGAAAAAATAGTCAGTCTTACAAAAATTTTTCTAGGTAATTATATATTTACTAGCGGACCCGACAGACGTTGTCCTATACATATATCTTAAATTTAAAAATCGTAAGGTTATTCATTCTTGGTCATTCCTTAATTATTAACATTTTCGTAAATATAAGTCCATTCTGATGGTATTCTCATCGAGACCTTTCATTTGAGTACCCACATGAATTTTTTTATATATTTTGTTTATATATATATATATGATATTTATAAAATATATGAAATATATATGAAAAATGCATGTGGGTACTCAAATAAAAGGTCTCGATGAGTGCAACATCGGAATGAGCTTATATCGTTAAAAACATCATTAGTTAACAAAATGCAACAGTAATTCCTTAATTATTAACATTTTCGTAAATATAAGTTCATTCTGATGTTATACTCATCGAGACCTTTCATTTGAGTACCCACATCAATTTTTCATATATTTTATATATTTATATATATGTATATTAGAGTGCTTTTTTTTCAACTATTTTTTTTTTTCGGTCTCATCGTGAAGTTTTGTTGCGAGTACCCAAAAAAAAATTCCCTGAAAGTTTGGGCCCTTAATATTAATATTACCACTAAGTCACTAAAATCATTATTTTCAGAGATATTTAATTATAAATTTTTTGTAATTTCAAATTTTTATCGAAAATTGCGTCAAATTATAAAAAATATCGAATATCTCTGAAAATATTGATTTTAGCGACTTGGTGCTCATATACACCCTAAGGTATATATAAAAAATATATAAAAAATGCATGTGGGTACTCAACTGAAAACTCTTGATGAGTGTAACATCAAGATGAGCTTATATCTTCAAAAATATTCATTATTTAATGAATCAAAATTTCAATTAATTACAATTCTATTTTTATTAAAAAATGACATTGTATCTTGTAAAATATTGACATTTTTAAAGATCTAAGCTCAACATGACATTAAAAAATCATTTTAAATATTTCATTAAAATAATTTTATTTTAATTTAGATTGCGGCATGCCAAAGAGTACATTGAAAGAATATTTACATCTTTACGCGCTTGATTACTCGAGATCTATCAAAAGAGCTACAGTGGCAAAAGAATTAGATATTATTCCGCTTACACCATGGGTTGTTCGATGTCCAGACGATAAATTTGAAGAGTAATATTAAATATCTATTTTTATTTATTAAATAATAGCCATGATTATTTATTAAAAATTATTGTTGATTAATTCTGACTTATTTATTTTTATAGATACATCAAAAAGTATAAAGAAAAAAAAATTATTGAAAAACCTTATGAAAATATTGATGACTACGTGATGACCCTCTTTAAATGCAGCGCATCGGATATCGAAAGTCTCTACAGGCGAGATCCTCGTCTGCGTAAGATGAACAAGAAAATTTTGACCGACATGTTTACATTTTTACACCAACTGGGTTATACTTTCGAAGAGCTATTTATATCTCCTCGATGTTTTCATTGCTCACCAGAAAATCTTCGTGAAAAATACGATTTGTGGATAGAGAATGGCCTGGGTCGACCCCCCTTGGTCGTTATCTCTTCCTCGACTGGGTTGTTCCAAAAGTGGCTTAAGAAAAGGACTAAAAAACAAATTCTCGAGTCTTCTCCAACATAACTTATGTTTATTTCTTTAAAATAAATTCATTTATCAACATTTTAAATTTTATTGTCTTATGAATTTAATAAATAACAATTAATTTGTAATTAATTTCTTTTTTGATTTAATAGTTTCTAAAATTTTTAATTCCGTTGAAACTTGACAGCAACAGTACAAGAAAAATGTCCTGGTGCAAGTAGTAATCCAGGAATCTGCAAGTAAATATAATTAATATAAATATTTTAATAATTAATAATAGTTTTTTATTTTATAAAAAAGGAATTAATTAAAGTAAGAAGAATTTTAATTACCTTGGAAGAATCGGAAAGTGAATAAATTGCCAATAGCCATTCCACCGAAGAAATAAAAGTTAGAAATGGCAGACATCGAAAGCAACGGAGAAGCAATCAGGCAATGGAACCTCCTTGCGTTTTTCGGTGACAAGTATTTATTCAAATAATAATTATAAACTGAAGAGGTTCCTATGTAACGAGCTATGCTTTCGATAGTTATTCCAATGAAATTAAGTAGCGACCAAATGAAAACATATTGAGCGAGTCCGTGCCAGATGTAGATGAAGCTGAATGTCAGGAAGGAAGCGAAGAATTTCTTCAAAGGAAAATTATACTGCGCTATTGGTCCGTAAATGTACCTGGAAAATATCAAGAGTATAACTTCGATAAATAATTTATTGCAAAATATATAATTAATAATTAATATTAATTTGAGATTACTTGACGAGAAATTGATATAGTCCACGATCAAAGTGCTTCCACATTTCAGAATACAGATGGACTCTTCCGATACATTTAGGCGGCGGAGGAGCATCAATATCATCAGCACGGCTAAACTCACCAGCGAGTCCATAAACGACAATGTACTTGTTACAGAAGTATTGGCCCATGGAGTAACCAAACCCGTAGAAGGCCCAGGCGTTGAACGCACCGACTCGTTCCGGGTAACTCTTCAACGCGCTGGTGTACAGGAAATGCATCATCAGCTCGGTGACCAGCAGCCAGAAGGTGTATCTCAATAAATTGAAAACAGTGACACCCAAACGATGCACTGTCCACTTTTCTGACCCGCTGAAACTTTTACGGAAGTCCGAGTAGAGGAAAAACGGACCAGTGAACATAGTTGGCAGGTATAGGCAGTACGCGGTGATCTCGATGAAGTTTTTGAAGAAACTACTGAGATTTTTGTGCTGGTACCGCGTGACATTGTCTACAGAGCAGCTGATGCTCCGTAACTGGATCCAGAAAATTGTCACTGTTAGGAGGTATTGCCATTCTTGGTCGACCTGCAGCCAGTCGTTCCAGACTAAGTTCATCAGAGGGTCATATTGGTATAAATACAATGTTCCTAGTTCTACGAAGTAAATTAGGGGTAAGTTGCGGATTGCTATCAGCAGGCATACCACCGAAGGCTGGATTAAGAAAAAAAGAACTCCTGAGAATCCAAGTTGGGTCCATAAAAATGTTGCGGTTATTGTAATGTACCAGCCACATAAAACCTGTTAATTTATTATTATTATTAGTATTGAAAATTTTAAACTTATAACAATAATAACTAGCAACCGTGCAGTCACTATGTGACTTGTAAACTACCAATAAATAAAATTTTACTTTATTAAATTATGACTTGTTAAAATCATCCCGATGTTACACTCATCAAGAGCTTTCATTTGAGTACCCACATGCATTTTGACATATTTTTCATATATACATATATATAGTAAGTCAAGATCTTTACAGTGACACTAAACTTCAGTAACAAAACCCGATTTTATCATATGACTATCCTGAATACAAAATTTTTCTTATTCTCTTAATAATATAAATAATAGTTAAAAAAAAATTGTCATCATTATTACTATTACTTATAAAAAAAATTTATTATATATTATTATTTTTTTTTATAATTAAAAATAACTTTAATTACTATTTTGAAATATTTTTTTATCACCTAAAAAATTTAATAGAGTTATAATAATAATTTAATGATACTAAAAATATTATCGAACAATTTTTGTTTTTACGAGTAAGTAAAATTTTATAAAATAAAAATTGTTCAACTCCGAATTTTAAAAAAACTCTTTGCAAGCAATTTGTTTAATAAATTAAATAATTATCTAATTTTTAAAAAACTTACTTACCGTACTATTAAATTTTTTATATTTTATAAAATGACTAATTAACAATTGCACAGCAATCCAAGGCACTAGTTTTTTAATAAGCGGTATAAAACTCCACCATTCTCCATCAGAAATATCTTGTCTCTTTTTTATCCAGCTCCATCCTATAGCAAAGTCATCGTAGCTCCCGTGTCTAGTACTGATATCTGTAAGCAAGCACAAACAATCAGCAATAACTTACCAATTAATTTAAATGAATGAAATAAAATTCAACTACTTACATCGTCCGGCTAAGTACACGTGATACAGCGAGTACAAAACCCCGCATGTCCAGGCGATGAAATAAAATCTCAGTTCATTTTTACAAAGTCTTATCATTATTTAAATTTAGATTTTGAATTTCAAATACGCGGCAATTGTCCGGATGTTTATACCGGCTTGTTTACATAAATTCTAATGTAAAAATGTATTTTTTATTACTTTGTCATACACTTTTAATTATTTAATGTTTGATGGCAAACATCAGTTTCAATCAGTAAATATACTAATAGTATTTGTAAATATTTACTCAACATTGCGCTTATAAGTCAAGTGTGCAGAACCATTATTACCATTACCTATTTGCACACGTTGATACTCCGACTTGTGTGAGTAAATGCTCCGCTATGTGTGATCCTTCGATGTAGATAAACCAAATTGTATTTTACGACACTATACTAATATAAAAAGTCTTACGGGCACGCTTGCTAGTTTTTAAACTGTCTTAAAGTTGAAACTGTTTTTTTCCGATATTTAATAGATACTTAAAAAGATTAGATTACTAGAGTCATTAAATTGTTTTTATACTTTAAAAATAGTTTTTACATTAACTCATCAAAACCCGGTTATTAAATTTTAATTTATAAATTTTTAGAGTTCATTATTTGTAATCATAAAGTATTTAAATATTTTTCAAAAAATTTTTAGTTTGATTTTATAAAATTTTATAAAAACCCTCTTTATTGATTATCTAATCTTTTAAAATAACTGCATATTTTATTTTTTTTTTTAAGTAGGTTTATTTTCTTTAAAAAAATAGAAACAAAACCTTGAAGATAATTTTTTATATTAAATAAATTTATAAATTCTAAACAAAAAATTTTACTATCTGAAATTTTAAAGATATTTTTTATAACTAAGTTAAAGAAAAATTTCAGATGGAAAAAAAATAAATTTAAAATTTTTATAAATATTTTTTATCACAATTTTTATTTTATAAAAATTCATAAAATTTTTATTTGTTAATTTTAGTATCATAAATAAAAATTATAAAAAATATTCATAAAAATTAAGATAATTTTTTCTTGTAATAATTTTTAATTTCCACAGAAATTTGAGATCCGGTGTAAATAATAAGGGACCGAATTATAATTACTGACAGAGGATCTGAAAAAAAAAAAAAAAATAATAATTTTAATAAAATTATATATTACAAAAAAAATTAATTAAATAAAATGTTACCACAGAAAGCTCGGTAAAGATACTGATTACCGATCTCCATACGCCCAAGAAAATAAAAGGAAGCTGTAGCGGTAATGATAAATAAATGAGTTGTCAGATAACAATTCAACCTTCTGTTCATTTGAGGCGACAAATATTTGTTAATAATTTTATTATAAGCTGGAGATTTTCCGATGGAACGGGCAATGCGTTCGATAGTCACTCCAAGGAAGCTCAGAGCTGACCAGACTAGAACAAAGTCTCGAGGTCCATGCCAGACGTAGACAAAGGAGAACGTCAACATTGAGGCGAATAATTTTGATAGAGATGATTTGTAACTGATGATCGGGCTATAGATGTACCTGAAAAAGAGGTCGATTAAAATTTAATAATTAATTAAATAATACATTAAATCATAACTTGCAACTTTGCAGTCACTATGTGACTGCCGTGACTTGTGAATTATAAATAAATAAAATTTTGCTTTATTAAATAATGACTTTAATTAAATTCCACTGTACTTTTTTAACTATTGACGTTTTTAAAGATATAAACTCATCCCGATGTTATACTCATCAAGAGCTTTCATTTGAGTACCCACATCAATTTTTTATATATTTATATATATTATATATATGTATATATCAAAAATATATCAAAATGCATGTCGGTACTCAAATGAAAGCTCTTGATGAGTGTAACA